GCTCATCAGACGCCTGAGTGTAATCGATCCTTCCTCTCACTTTAGACTGTGCTTTGTTTTTTCTCTTCCTTAATCATCTCCCAGTTATTCTCTAATGAACCTCAGATTTCAGGGAAGAGAATGTTTTCTAAGACTCCATGCCACAGGATCCCGCCATCTGCTGGGCGGAGCCTTTTGCCCATTAGTGGCTGCTGCCCCATTGGTGGCACTGAGCCCAGCTTCCTTTGTTAGCACTCTGAGGCTGCCATAACCAGGTTCAGTGCTCACAGGGAACCTGCCTGAGGAGGGACTGCTCCAGAGGCATGTGGTGGCAAAGCAGAGTTCTGGGTTCTGTGTGTGGAGGCAGTGTCTGAGGAGTGGAAGGAACTGACCAGCTTAGCCTGAGTCTTGGACCTTCGTGAGACGTTAAAGGCAGCAGCAGCCGACCGGGAGCACCTGTTGTGCCTACACAGCCAAGACCTCTTCCGTGTCTGCTTTGATCTCCCTCAGTCCCTGCGAGGGATACGGGCATTCTCATCCTCACTTTGCAGATGAGGACATCAGACTGTGGCAACTTCCCAAAGCACACATCCCCCAGGGGCAGCCAGGCACAGGAGTGCAGAGGTGAGGGGTGTCCCGGGGCTGTACTGCGGGTCCCTGTAGGCAGGACAGTTGCCACCTGAGCAGAATGCTGAGGGGACATGCCGGTTTGGGAAATGCCTTGAGCCAGGGTCTGAGGGATGGCTGGGGTTTTCCCAGGTGGAGGAAGTGGAAGGAGCATATGGAGCAAGAGAAGCTGTATGCACCAAGGCCCTGAGGCAAAGAGTACAGGAGAGGAGGTGACGGAGTGGTCAGGAGGGCAAAAACCCATCCTGAAGGCTGCAGGCTGCAGGCTGCATTAATTAATTGTGCTTTTCTATTTTCTGCATTTTGCAATGCTTTGACATCTCACAGCCTGGGGAGAGGCTGCCCTTCCCAGGGCTAGCTTAATTCCCAGAGCCACCAAACAGCTTACCTGCCAGCATGCCTTTGCACACCCACCAATCCAGAGTCCGTGGAGGGGTTTCCAGCCACATCCTTTATGTAGTCTGCACACCCCCAGCCAGTATTTCCATTCCCTAAATCACCCAGGGCCATGCCAACAGGTGGCCACTCCCAGTGCTCATGGAAATGATCCAAACTCTCCAACCCTGAACTCACTGACTTGCCTACCCTTTCCAAGCTATTCCTTCCCATCAACCACTGTAAAGGCTCTGGGAGAGGCTCTCTTCTTCACCCCTCCTGTCTCCTGGTGCTTCCCCTTGTGGCCCCGTGTGGCGCTATGTGCCCCCTCCTCTCAGGAGCCACAAGCCATAAAACTTTCAGTGGTGCTGACCTCTCCACATTGTCACTCAGTCAGCTCTGCAAGTTAAATCCTGGGTACATTCAGAATGTGGACCACATTAGCGCAGAGGATGGAGGGTCAGGGACTGTCCAGTCAATCAGAGTAGATAGAAGGGGACAGTTTGCCTGCCTATTCCCTCTTCTTCTTGTAGAAACAACACCCACTTTTCCTTTGGGGTACATATTGTCCTTTCTGGAACTTACTTTTTAGTAAGCTAAAATTCTTCGTTTAGTAAGCTAAAAACTCAATTCTTGGCTGTGAGCTGCAATCCCAGAAATTTTCCATATTTTCCTGCTGAAATTAAGCAGACTTCTTTATAGGCTGCTTGGTCAGGCCCAAAGAGGCTCGCTAACTATATTAACTCCTATTGTTGCTTCAACAATCTACTATGAACTTGGTGGCTAAAAACAAATGTATTTTCTTCAGTATTGAATGTCAGAAGTCTGAAATCAAGGCATCTGCAGGGTCATGTCCTCCTGGAGGTGCTCGTGGGAATGCATTCCTTGCTTTTCTAGCTTCTAGAGGTTTGTCTGCATTTTTCAGCTGGAAGCTTCTTTCTCTGAGATCTTCGAAGTCAGCAGCATCACACGTTCAAATCTCCTTCTAACTCTGACCCTCCTGCCTCCTTATAGGCACCCTTGCAATTACATTGGACCCACCAGATAATCCAGGATAGTCTTCCCAGCTCACAATCCTTAATTTGATTACCTCTGTAAAGTCCCTTTTGTGATAAAACAGGTTCGCAGGTTTCAAGGATTAGGATGCGGGCATTTTAGGGAGCCACTATCCTGCCTGCCACACTTATTTACCAAGTGGAAGCCCCGTGGCTAATCAATGGTAGGGCCAGGAGTGGAACCCAAGACTTGTGGACCCAACGATGCTTGTCATTATTGCTCTACTACAGGGATGTCTCCATGTGGGAGCAGCTGCTTAGGGAAGCACCCCCTCCCATCTGCCCACACAGCTGGAGGAGGGAAGGGCCATGCAGAGGACAGCAGCATCAGCCCGGCCCTCCTGTCGACTCACTGAGGAAGTGGGGTGCTGCATTCAGCTCTGCCTTAGGTTGCTTTCTTCAAAGAGGATTAAAACCTTTCTTCCAGAGATGCTTGGGAATTTGGCCTTGGTGGAAGATACCATGCTCTTTTTTTAGAGGAAAAGGCCCTGCAGAAGTAAGCATATAATTATCTTCATTTAGCCACTTGGACTATCCCCCCATCTCCGTCCATTTTTCAACAAGCGTTTGTTGACCACTTCTAGCGAGCTTGCCATGGTGCTGGGTCTATTTAACCACCAGCACCACCCTGTGAGGAAAACATGCCTACTGGCTCTTACTTGTTCAGGATGGAGCGCATAGCAACCCTTACCAAATCTCTTTGCATGCCTCTGACCTCTTATTTTTGTTGATACTACTTTCCTAACACCTAAATATTGCCAGGTTTCCAAGTGTGTGAACTGTGGAGTCTATTTCTGTAGATTTTTGTAACCCTTAAAGTTTGGTGTTGCCTGTGAGAATATGTATATTTTTTGCATATGGGGGTAAAGGTTTGGAAAATAAAGAAGAGAATACAGGAGGCTGTAAGAAAGCTGTAAACTGGAGGATACTGAGACCATGCAATCGCACAGCTCAGAGCCTTGGCTTTGTGCCAGGTGAGAGAAGCTTGGAAACGAGGTCTCGGGTGTGTCACCGGCAGTGCTGAGCCCCCTGACACCCCCTGGGAGGAGGGGAAGGTCAGAACTGTTGGAGGAAGAAGCATGTTTCAGAGTGTGTGTTGACAAAGGTGAGGCATATAAAGGATGAGTACTGCGGCTGCCACTTCCTCCTGTTGGTTGCATCTGGGAGAGAGGCTGGAGGGGTGAGGGAAGGGGGTACACAGGTTGGACCCCCAGATAATGAAGAGCAAGCTTCCCATCTCAAGATCCTTCATTACTTCTGCAGAAACCCTTTTGCCATGTAAGGTGACAGTCACAGGTCCCAGGGAATGGGACAGGGACATCACGAGGAATGGGGCGGCCACTGCAGTAACACTGGACTGGCTGAACTTTGCCTAAACCAGTGATTCTTTTCATGGGATCCAGGACCCCAGGGTGTCCATAAGAGACATCAGGGGAATTGGTGGCCTTTGTAAAAGGTGAGGCAGGGACTTAATTAAGTTTATAGATCCATTTTTCTGGGTAGCAGTTTCCCTTGGTGAGAATGTTTCTCCTCTGGGGATGCAGGCCTGGTCCTCTTTTTCCATTAGAGTAGCAAAAAGTCCCTAAGCCAACTCCTGCAAAAGTTGAAGGGTAACTTGCAGGCTCTAATATTACCTAAGACATGTGGTACCTCCTTGACCCAAGAGATAACCTCCCTTTCCTGGAGAACATTCTCAGCACCTGGCTGAACTTCATTCTCTGGCATGTAAATCCATCTGCTGTCACCTCCACACTCTGCTTTCTTTGGAAGAAGGACCTGTCTTCATTACCACTTTTGGAAGACCCTGCTCATGCCACTTTTAAGGAGATGCTCTGGAGAAGATAGAATGCACTATGACCTATAGGAATGCTGGCGTCCAACTTTGGCTACCTCCTCAGTCAGCTGACCCGCTCTCTGTGCCTGGGCCATCCTTCAGCTGCCACTCAATGCCAGCGTCGTCAACAGCATCAGTCTGCCAGCTAGTGCCACACTGTGCATGGCCACCAGTGTGCTTGGCAAAATGCAAGCATCAGGAAGGGGTGCTGATTTCTTGAGTGGACCTCAGAACAAGGGACACACTCTGAAAGGAAGTCAGTCTGTCCACCCTCTGTCAGTTGGCACAAGGCAGTTGGAACAAGCAGAGTCAGACATTGCCTCTCCTCTGGAGGAACTGAGACACCCACTGTGCTCCCTTGGGGGCACAGTTCTATCAATGAGGGGAGTAAGTTTGAGCTGCATTTTATTTTAGGGTGGCTTTTAATTTAGTTTAATCAGACTTAACTCGTAAATTATCAATTAATTACTATCTGCTTTTGAGTTCAATCCTCTCAGCCACAGGGCTAGCTAGCTCTGCTCTGCGATGAATGCCATCCACTATAATTGTAAGGTACTTTGTCAACATTTAATCAGCAGGGCTTATTGATGTGGCATTGATGTGTGGTTGCACCTAGGACCATCAGTCATGTGTGAGCAGCCAGAGCAGGCCGGGCACTGTTGCTCTGTCTCACTATGCAGCCCCTGGGCTTTCTGGCCAGACATGATGCTCCCTTTTCACTAAATGGACACTCTATCTCTTCAGTTCTACCCCAATTTTTGTCACTGTCAACTTGAACACTCCTGGCCTTTTGAGCCTCCATCTGAAATGGCGGAGCTGAGCAACACAGGTTCTCAGAGTCCTTGATTTTTCTTCCTTTGGTGTTTTCACACTCTGCCCAGTGAATATGAACTTGTGAGAGACTTGCCCGGAATTGGACCTTATGGTATGCCTTGTGTTTGTGTGTGTGCAAAAGAATTTAAAATTCTCAAATGAAGTGCATGACCCAGAGGAAAGAGAAGTGATCTTTCCATATCTTTGGCTTATTGAATATTCCTGGAGATTAAGCTGTTGTTTGAAACCTTATCAGTAGAAGCTTATCTTGTGTTAAGTAAAGTAGATCTCACAGTTTCCTTCCTTTTTCTTCGCAGCCTCTACGGCAGACACATGCAGGCAAACCCAGAACCGCCGAAGAAAAATAATGACAAGTCAAAAAAGATCAGCCGGAAACCTCTGACAGCCAAGAACAAATAAGGGGTTGGCATGGGCTGGACTGCTGGTCACTTCCCCCTTTATTCGCTTCTCTTGCACAATCTCACAAGTAAATACAGTGTGTGTGTTTTGTGGGGGGGTTTTTTCCTTTTCACTTTCTCTTTCTAGTGTTTACCGCCTTTGCTTTTAAATTCTTTTGGTAGGTGTTAGATTTTTATAATTCTTACAACCATTTCCATTTGTTTCCTTAAAATTGCAAAATGCAGGAAACAAACCTCTAATTCCACTGCAAATTCCATACAGTCGCAAGTTTCAGTCCTTGAATAGGTGTTCACCAAGCTGCTTATTATCAAAAGAGTAATTAAATCATGTAATCATATATATATATATATAATGTCACAGTTAACACACTTGTCTCTTCTGTTTAGTTGCAGAACTCATTATTTTGCTTTATTAAAAATTTTCCTTCACCACCGAGATACTATGTTAACTTACGAACAATTTTAATGATATCTTGAATTTGTATTACATGTTCCTCCTTGAGCAGAATAAAGAACAATTTGATCTTGGATCATACACATTTTGGTTTTTTACTTTTTTGCCTAAATTGCCCATTTTCATTGGTTGTAAATGATAAACTGAAACTTTCCATGAAAGAAAAGCAAAATTAAATTATGGTTAGTTTTCTTCTCTCATCGATTTGTCAGTATATATATTTTTTCCTTTTGAAGACTGTTTCTAAATTAGGAAGGAGCAGAAAAACAAATTTCTAGGAGACTGCCAAAAAATTTTGGAAAGGAGCATGTGTTAGCTGAAGAAATGGTGACTTCTGCCAGTGGCTGGTAGAAAAGAGTTGTGAAATGGAGAGAGAAAAACTCAAGTATGTTTCTAGTCACTGCAAAAAATCTCAGCTCAGAGCATTCTTCTCAGTGACTCTGGAGATGCCAAGGAAGCTGAGTAAATGTGCACAGCCTCCCCCATACCCAGTATAGAAACTGCAGCTGCAGAGTCATTAAACAACCAATTGTTTAGCATCTGTGATAGGCAGCTTGGTTCGTACCACCAGTAATATGGATATAAGTGGAAATCCAAGCAGAATCTTTATGCTAACCAAGAGCGCAGCCAACACAAAATGCCTTGAAATGAAAGGTGCGTGCACATGAAACATACTCAGACGGATTACTATCTGTTCACAGTTTTACAGCTAAGCCCTCCTGACCAGAACCACTAGGATATGTAAAAAGCCAGAATTACAGCACACAAAAAAAAAAAAATGAAAGAAAGAGAAAAAAGGAAACAATCATTTCCCAGAATCAGAGAAGCCACCAGTCTACCCATCTTACTTTGGGGTAACTTCCTGATAGAGAACACTCGCTGAGGGAACAGGAATCCCCAGGTGCCAGTTGCCATCACTTGTTTTTGGGTAGGGCTGACGTACTTTGACCTGGTGCAATCATCTCTTCAGCCTGAATTTTTCAAATTGATTTTTTAACTCATGAAATTGCCGGAAGAACAACATCTCTACTGTTGTTAATTGGAAAGAAGTCATCTAAAATTAAACTGGCAAAGCATTTGCAAAATTACCACAATAAACTCTTATGAATAATTTCTGTAAAAGGTGAGCATTCTGGATAGAAATGTGGGCAATACACAACACAAATTCACAGAGAAGAAATATCTCCAAGAAACATGAAAAAAAAAAAACCATCTAGACTCACTAGTAATCAAAAAATACGAATCAAACAAAAAATAAATGTAACAGTGAGAAATGTGCAAATATTTTTTTAAGGCAGTATTAAGTGGTACAGGAGTAACATTAGATAAACATTCTTACACAGTTCTTTTGGGAATATAAATTTCTCTTGAGAAAGGTGATAGCCATTTGACAATATGTAATGAAACCTTAAAATTGTGTTCTCTCACCCAGAATTTTTATTTCTAGGAATTTATCCTCAGAAAGTTATCAGGGATACACACAAAGAGCTATGTTTGAAACTTGCTTATAGCATTGCATACACAATGGAAACACGGGAAAAGCAAATGCTCCCAATGGAAAAAGGGTTAATGGTGATGCATCCTTATGGAAGACATTAAAAATTGTTGACCAATATCTAAGGGCAAAGGCAGATAATCATATCATCCAGTTGAGTAAAGAAGCAAGATTAAATAACTATATAAGGATGGTCCCAGTTGTGTAAAAAGGAAATTGTGTTTTTAATATGCATTCATAGGAAAATTAAATGGAAGTGAGCCAGGATTTTATGGCTGATAAATTATCTGTGTATGGTGGGTTAGTTTTTAAAAAATATCTTTATACTTATTCTGTACTTTAATTTTCTGTAATGATCGTATATACTTTTTGATCAGAAAATACTAAATGTGTTTTTTTAAGGCAAATTGAATAATATCCTTGAATAATACATTTCATACAAAATCTCAAGGTGGCTCTTCTTTTTTCCTTTGTCGCTAACGTGGTTTTTTACATCTTTTCATGGACTCTTTTGTTTATTGGTATCTGGATTAACAAAATATCTACAGTTCAAAAGGTAGCTTTCTGTTCCAGTTTAATTGAGATACAGTTGACATACAGCATTGTGTAAGGTTAAGGTATATGGCATAATGACTTGCTTTACATACATTTTGAAATGATTACTACAATAAGCTAACATCCATCATCTCATAATGGTTTTTAAATGAGTTTTTCTGTGTGGTGAGAGCTCTTAGAACTTCCTAAGAACTTTCAAATATTCCACATCCTTGCCAGCATTTATTATCTCTTATCTTTTTGATAGTAGCCACTCTAACAGGTATGAGGTGAGTCACTCATTGTGACTTTGATTTTCATTCATCTAATGGTTAGTGATATTGAGCACATTTTTATGTACCCCTGTTGGCTATGCATGTATCTTCTTTGCAAAAAGGTCTACTAAAGTTCTTTACCCATTTTTTAAATTAGATACCCTTTCCTCCTTTTTTTTTTGCTATCGAGTTGTATGAGTTCTTTACATGTTTTGACTCTTAACTTCATACATGATTTGCAAATATTTTTTCCTATTCTATAGGTTGTCTCTGTATGTCTTTACATGTTCATTTGTATCTTACAACTTTGCTGAATTCACTGATTAGACCGAATAGTATTTTGGTGGAGTCTTTAGGACTCTGTGTCTGTATAAAAGCATGTCATCTGCAAATATAGCCAATTTTATTTCCTTTCCAGTAATGATGCTTTTCATTTCTTGTGCCTGAATGCTCGGGCTAGGATTTCCAGTACTGTGTTAAGTAGGGCTGGTAAGAGTGGGCATCCATGTCTTGTTCCTGATCTTAGTAAAAAAACTTTCAAGCTTTCATCATTGAGTAGGATGTTAGCTGTGGGCTTGTCATATTTATTATATAGAAGCATGTTACTTTTATACCTAATTTGTTAAGAGTTTTTATCATGAATGGATATTAAATTTTTTAAATGCTTTTTTGGTATCTGATGAGATGATCATATAATTTTTTTATTTCATTATATTAATGTAATGTATCACATTCATTGATTTGTGCATGTTGACCATCCTTTTATCCCTAGGATAAAACCCACTTGATCATGGTGAATTATGCTTTTAAGATGATGCTGAATCTAGTTTGTTAGTATTTTATTGAGAATTTTTGCAATCAGATTTATCAGGAATATGACCTGTAGTATTCTTGTAATCTCCTTTTCTGGTTTTGGTATCAAGGTAATAATGTTGGCCTCATAAAATGAATTGGGGAGTGTTTCCTTCTTTTTGATTTTTTGGAAGAATTTGAGAAGCAAATGTGTTAATTCTTCTTTAAATGTTTGGTAAAATTCACCAGTGAAGCCATCTACTCCTGGATTTTTTCTTCATTGGGCAATTTTTGATGACTAATTCAATCTCCTTACTAGTAATTGGTCTGTTCAGATATTCTATTTCTTCCTGATTCAGTCTTGGCAGATTGTTTTTTTCCAAAGAATTTTTCCATTTTTTTCTAGGTTGTCCAGTTTGTTGGCATATAGTTGCACATAGTAGCTTCTTAGGATCCTTTGCAATGCAGTGGTATCAGTTGTAATGTCTCCTCTTTCATTTACAGTTCTGTTTATTTGGCTTCTGTGTTTTTTTCCTTGGTTAGTCCAGCTAAATGGTTGTCAAGATTGTTTTATCTCTTCAAAGAACCAATCCTCAGTGTTGTTAATCTTCCCTGTTTATCTGTCCTGCATTTCATTTCTTTATGCTCTAATCTTTATTACTTCCTTCTTTTTGCTAACTTTGGATCACTTTGTTCTTTTTCTAGCTTTCCTTGAGGCATAAGTTAGGTGGCTTATTTGAGATATTTCTTCTTTGTTGCTATGAACTTCCCTCTTAGAAGTGCTTATGTTACATGACATAAATTTAGGTATATTGTGTTCCATTTTCATTTGTCTCAACATACTTTTTTTATTAAGGTATTGATATACACTCTTATGAAGGTTTCACATGAAAAAACAATGTGGTTACTGTATTTACCCATATTATCAAATCCCCACCCATACCCCTATGCAGTCACTGTCCATCAGTGTGGTAAGATGCCACAGATTCACTATTTGCCTTATCTGTGCTGCACTGTTTTCCCTATGATCCACCAAATCCCTGTGTACTAAACATAATACCCCTCAATCCCCTTCTCCCTCCCTCCCCACCCGCCCTCCCACACCCCTCCCCTTTGGTAACCACTAGTTCCTTCTTGGAGTCTTTGAGTCTGCTGCTATTTTGTTATTTCAGTTTTGCTTCATTGTTATATTCCACAAATGAGGAAAATCATTTGGCACTTGTCTTTCTCCACATGGCTTATTTTACTGAGCATAATATTCTCCAGCTCCATCTATGTTGTAGCAAATGGTAGGATTTGTTTCTTTCTTATGGCTGAATAATATTCCATTGTGTATATGTACCACATCTTCTTTATCCATTCATCTACTGATAGACACTTAGGTTGCTTCCATGTCTTGACTATTGTTAAAAGTGCTGCAATTAACATAGGGGTGCATATGTCTTTTTGAATGTCAGAAGTTGTATTCTTTGGGTAAATTCCAAGGAGTGGGATTCTCGGGTCAAATAGTATTTCTATTTTTAGTTTTTTGAGGAACCTCCATATTGCTTTCCACAATGGCTGAACTAGCTTACCTTCCCACCAGCAGTGTAAGAGAGTTCCCCTTTCTCCACAACCCCGCCAACATTTGTTGTTCTTAGTCTTTTCGATGCTGGCCATCTTTACTGGTGTGAAGTGATATCTCATTGTGGTTTTAATTTGTATTTCCCTGATGATTAGTGATGTGGAGCATCTTTTCATGTGTCTGTTGGCCATCTGAATTTCTTCTTTGGAGAGCTGTCTCTTCATATCCTCTGCTCATTTTTTAATCAGGTTGTTTGCTTTTTGGGTGTTGAGGCATCTAAGTTCTTTATATATTTTGGATATTAATCCCTTGTCGGATATGTCATTTACAAATTATTCTCCCATACTGTAGGATGCCTTTTTGTTCTGTTGATGGTGTCTTTTGCCATACAGAAACTTTTCAGTTTGATGTAGTCCCATGAGTTCATTTTTGGTTTTGTTTCCCTTGCTCTAGGAGATACATTCAGGAAGATGTTGCTCATGCTTATATTCAGGAGATTTTTGCCTACGTTGTCTTCTAAGAGTTTTATGGTTTCATGACTTACATTCAGGTCTTTGATCCATTTTGAGTTTACTTTTGTGTATGGGGTTAAACAATAATCCAGTTTCATTCTCTTGCATGTAGCTGTCCAGTTTTCCAACACCAGCTGTTGAAGAGGTTGTCATTTCCCCACTGTACGTCCATGGCTTCTTTATCATATATTAATTGACCATGTATGGTTGGGTTTCTATCAGGGCTCTCTAGTCTGTTCCATTGGTCTGTGAGTCTGTTCTTGTGCCAGGACCAAATTGTCTTGATTACTGTGGCTTTGTAGTAGAGCTTGAAGCTGGGGAACATAATCCCCCCCAGCTTTATCCTTCCTTCCCAGGATTGCTTTGGCTATTCTGGGTCTTTTGTGGTTTCATATGAATTTTAGAACGATTTTCTCTAGTTTGTTGAAGAATGCTGTTGATAACTTGATAGGAATTGCATTGAATCTGTAGATCGCTTTAGGCAGGATGGCCATTTTGACAATATTAATTCTTCCTGTCCATGAGCACAGGATGTGTTTCCATTTATTGGTATCTTCTTTAATTTCTCTCATGAGTGTCTTAGTTATCAGATTATAGGTCTTTCACTTCCTTGGTTACATTTATTCCTAGGTATTTTATTCTTTTTGATGCA